ACTTCACAGGCCATATCTACAGCCAGTGTTTGGTTTGTCCATCTACTGTAGAAAAATGCCGGTTCAAGATGGCCGCCTCAATGGAAGAGGAGCTATATGTAGATAAAAACAGCTCATTCTAAGGTAACAAAACACACAATGATTTTTATTTTCAGGTGATTATACACTAATGGAAACATACCTATGAATATTATCGTCCATTTCTACCATTGGATCCTCCTAAATGTTACACACTGGACCTTTAGGGTATTCAATTTGCAGTGATACAAAACTAAAACAAAAAAACAGCAAAACTGCACATTTGAGAGTCTGGTCTGTTTTGCCTATAAAAATTGATTACCATCTCTAACTAATTAATTCTCTGTCGATTTCAGTCGATTTGAAGCTTTTCAACTAAAAACAGCTTCCTAATGCTGCTAGAACATAAAAACATTAAGGTTGCAGGCTGCAAAACCTAAAACCTACGACAGACGAGGCTAAAATAATACATAAAACTGAGGGGATCTGCTAAGTCTTCTTTTATATTACACATTTTTACATTGTTAAAATAACAATATTGATTGGTGCAGCTTTAATGTTTCTCATGTTGCTGCTTTTTATCTGTAACTTCCTACAGCTGCATTAATCTCATTCACTCTTTTGGTCCCCTGATGGTCCCTACTAGACGCCCCGAATGACTTTGCAGTGTACACGTACAGAAACAGTGGCTGGGAAAAGTTGAATGTGTAAGTATCATTCAGCCACACAGCGGACAGGAAAACCCAATGAGCTGCCGGGCTGATTGCTGACTACATTAAGCCTCTTAGGCAGCACGCTGATGAATCCACTCGTTGAATTGTGAAGGTAATAGTCTTGACATAGCAAAGACATAACTCATCGACTGTACCTGCAAAGTCCCCAAATGACAGCAATCTCAAGTAGGAGCCAGTCCAATATGAAAGAGGACTTTGCTTTTATTACCATCATCATTACTGTATATCATTTCTGAATGTACAGCCATTTGGTTTCATTTAAATGTAAATCTGGGCACTGAACTGCGTGCGTTGTCACCCACGGCAGCCTGACTATGATGATTCATTCTGGGATCGGCAGGGAAAATATAAGAGCCCCTTTACTTTCTCTGAGGGAAAATAACAGATTTGACCTTTGTCTGTTTTCATGAAAGCTCTGTACACAGCAAAATAAAAAAACCTTGAAATTTTATTTTTTTCTTCTAGAAAACAAAAGTAGCCACCGTTTTGTGCATCCTTTGTACTCTGCTGTCTCTCTTTTCTTTTTTCTTTTTTTTTGCCCAACCTGAAGAACAAGAACAGAGAGGTACAATCTGTGCCGCAAGGTCAGGGGTGGACTAAAGCCTGAGGAGAATTGACGAGTCCACATGTCAAATGAGTTTATAGCAACACAAGAGACACGGCATCACATGCCATGTGGCGATGGCTACTTCAATGAGACTTGACACATATTGTGCATCTGTGGAGCTAGAAGATGCTGTTTGCTGCTAATATTTATCAAATGAGCTGACCATTGCGCATGTGCACAATCTTTCCAACAGGGCAAACATTAGCAGCTCCATACCCTGATCTCATAGCATATTCTTGTAATCATATAGCATTAGGGAAATGTACAGCAGAGCATGTTGAATTATTGGCAAATGAACTGGATGACATCAACAATCCTTAATCAAATATCAGATAATCCCCTCGCTCATTATTTTTCTTTCTCTATACACACCCGCTCTCTTGCTAAATCATACATCACAAAAACTAATCACCAAGTCCCAAATAAATATGCCTCTGTGTCACATGAAATCAACAAGACCTTCATCAGGAGCTAGGTTATGAGGGATATTACATATCAATGCACTCACATAGCATCTTTGCATCTATAAGCAGGGCTTCATAACATAGACAAATACATGGTTATAGCTGAAACCTGATCTATAAGGAAGTCACATCTAATATCAGGAAGCTGTATCTTTAAATCTCTTATGTGTTTCATGTCCAGTACTGTGCAACACGATTGAAAAGCCTTTTAAAGTTTCCCTCTGGGCCACACCACGCTTAGTGACGGCCGTGTTGCACAGGAGGAGCCCTCCTTCGTGACCCCTCGCGTGAGTCTCATCCCAGCCAACAGGGCCTGTGAACATCACTGTTGATCCTTGAGAGCTTAAATCTGGCTGAGTGCGAGTTAGCACAGTCAAGACCCGCCGCGGGCGGTTCGTGGAGTCAACTTTGCCGGGAAATGTCCGTGTGACACCTGTTGTTACGTCTGTGGCCTTTGAGACCGATGTGACGTGCAGAGAGATGGTAATGCGGAAGGCGTTTGTGCACGAAATGTCACTTCAGTTACTGCAGCACATGATTGAAGCATTCAGGGGGCATTAATGAGATTTTTATGCAGCTGCATCAAGAGCTAAAATGATTAGTGGATTTATTGATGAGTCAGTGATGGACAAAAATATCAATCTATTTGGTAATGAATTTAATCATTGGAATAATTATTTAAGCAAAAATATCAAGCATTCTCTGATTACCTTCTCAAAACTTAGGATATTATCTTTTGAATTTGGTGCTCAGATAAAACCAGGAATATGGGCTCAGGGAACGATATCAACAGACATCAACAACTAAAGTCTCTTTAAGTGAGAGACTGCAGAGTTAGCCTGTTTGCCCAACATAGAATTCTGGTATGATTCCACCTTTGCACACAGGATCAAACTTGAATAACATCTACATTCAAACTGTCTCTGAAACAGCAGTGAACAAACTAGGGCTGCAACTAAAGATTATTATTTTAACAATTATTCTGTGGATCATTTTCTCAATTAATTATTAATTGATTAGGTCTATAAAATGTCAGAAAATAGTGAAAACATCCTCAAATGTTTTGTTTGTCCTCAACCCAAAAATATCTCTATAGTTTGTAGTAACAGTAGTTCCAACCTAGGGGTCAGGACCCCCAGCCAAAGAGAAATCATTTACAGGACAGGAAAGACAAAAAAATATTCTCAATTTTTTTTCTCTAATCAACACTTATGTCATCATTTAACCTTGATGGTGACATCAGATAATCTCAGTGATGTCATACGGTTCACACCTGTTTTTTATACAAAGCCTGCATTATAAACGGAGGTGTGGGGTTTGAAAGATATGGCAATTTTTCCGCCTGGGAGGGTATAATGAAAGACGCTATCAAGCTGCATTATGGGAATTGTAGGATCCAGTGTTACCGCAGCTTGACCCATACCAGGGCCAAAAGTCAGGATATCTCAGCCTTTGCTGCTTCAATTTTGACTGTTCTTTTTTTTATCTGACTCCTGTGAGTCCTCCAACTTTATATTGGTGCAATAATAAATAATAACTGGAGTAATGAAACTTCTCATGGCTCATAAATGTGCCGCGTGCAACCTGTGACAACGGGGTTGCAAGAAGACATTGTGTCATTTTAAGGGGGTAAATGCATTGTAACCATGCATTTAGCTCTCTTTTCAGAATGTGCTTTCATCATTTCTTAGCTTTTTTTAAATTTACGTTTAATTGAGTTTTGTACATTTGTAAAGTGCAACTTTAGTGTTTAATGCACAATTTCCACACAATACACCAATAAAATGGTATATAGACACAATCCAACAGATGTGATCAGATCCACCAATAAGATGAAAAAGCCGGAGAGCTCAATCTAACGGGGGACTTTCCACACCCATGTTCAGTGACTGTAGAGGGCAATGGAGTCTTGATGCTGTGACCTCAATCTATTACTGCACTCACTTCAGCTCCATGGGCTGCCATACAGTGAGTTTAGAACATGTGGCTCTGAAGGGGGGGTAAAATCAGATCTAGCTGCACCTACTGTAACCTACATTAATAGGAAGGTGAAGAATCTCTTCTGTGCCGCAGTCATTACAGTAGACACAGAATGATGAGCCATTTTTTCAGAGATGCACAGACACAATCAGATGACTGAAAAACAAACATATTATTGTGGAGCTGTGTGCTTATACATTGTTACATTTGATTAAAATGAGTGCAGCAGCTACAACTCACTGAAAGCTCAGCTTTGGAAAAGTCTGCATAAAATATCACTTGAAAAATCTGTAGAACATTTTTTTTCTTGATTTTTGTTCTCCATTAAAAAAAATATATATACAACATCAAACTGGGACAGATGCCCAATCCTCAACAACCCCCCCACCTGGCACATCCTCCCCACATTCAAGTGTAGTTTTACCTATAGAATATGTCTAGAACATGTTCATTATCTTTTTGTAAATCACATGGGCACATGACTTTGAACAAATGATCAAAAAATGCATGTCCCCCCGTCCACTGAAATCCAGCTCGTGCCCTTTCAAAAATCGTTTTATGTGCCTGGAACAATGCTTTTCTTATTTTTAATTCAGCATAAATAGTGCCTGTCCCTGCGCCCTGCACAGGCAGCCTTACACAGATTATTACCCCCCATATCAGGGAGTGAGTCGCTTTATAAAGACAGAATCTGTACAGTAACTCCCAGAGAAAATGCGTTGACATGCCTGTTGCACAGGCGTGTCTGAATTAAAGCCTGCTCCTGAATGCAGCGCGGTCATGATGATGGATTCATTAAAGACTGCGAGAACTGAGTGAAACTGGCACAATTAACATCGATTTGAGGGGAATATGAGGAAAAAAAAGAAAGAAAGATAAACAGTGAGGGAACTTGACAGTGCGAGCCGCGGCTTGATGAATCAATACCAGGAGCTCCGCTGCGCACTGGGGGAAGAGAGAGAGCTCAAACAGTGACAATAAGTCCGGGGATGGCTCAAAAAGCCACGCTGAAAATTGCATGTGCACAGTGGTACATCTTCACAAATGCCCCAAATATTTACAAACGCGACAGAAACGCGAGAAGTGGTGCGTAACCACGAGCATGGCACAAGCTTCTTTTTAACACGCCGGGGGAAAAGCGTCTGGAACGCAGAGGCAGTGAAAGTAGCCATGCACGCACACGGACACAGCTCTTACCTTTGGAGATCACGGACACTGTGCAATAAACGAGGAGCAGGAGGCCCGTCATGGAGAGGTAACGTCCTTTTGTCAGCGCACCCATACCGACGCGTAGCTCTCCACGGGTACGCTGCCGGGGTGACGGTGCTCCGGATCTCTGGTGCCTCCTCTCGCCTCCTCCGAGCTGTACGA